ATGTTCAATCAAGGGATGCAGGTGCTTTACAATCCAAATGATGATCTGCATTGCGAAGCTGAACAATTACACACGAAAAAGATTCATCTAGAAAGCAATTTGAAGAAGGTGGCATTACCGATAATCAGAGCATCATGTCCTTGCTAGTTCCGATCACTGTATCCTACTGTGAGTAATGGAATTTTGGGAAGAGAGTTAAAAAACATGATGATATGTTTCAAGAAGACATTGAAAGCGTAAGTTTCGATAGAACAAATCTCCTCGTTACATATATGTTTGGAATAACTGATTATTTTAAATAGCAGGGCTTGGCTGATATATGTTTCGAACAAATCTTCGTGATCAAGAAGCTTGCATCCATACAACTGGTCGACGATAGTGTTACCAGTAAGAGAGCAATAACGGGGGGTCACATGTGTGATCCACGGGCTGTGAAAAAAAATAGCATGAGGGCAACTGAAATGTAGCACGATATATTGCAGCAGTAATAAGGAATATGTCGTACCAGCTAAGGTCACTTGTTGGGTGGTTCCGAAGATATGAGTCAATCTCGATTAGAACGTCAGGTGGTGGGTGAATGTGTAATCTACCATCAGTCCAATGAGAATCAACATAAGATGTGTGCAAGGTAGTAACAGGGGTGGGTTTGAATGGTGAGATATGAGCAAATAGGACAGCATCTTCAGGGGGGTCAGTCTCATTGGTGAACATGAGGATGCCACCTATTAGGCTGTCAGCCCAACATTTTGACTCTTCATGTTGTGCTTGCAATTTTGAGTTCTTTGGAGTAACCTCGTCATCGGCGTGATATGCTGAAAAAAAGCATGGAGAGGGAAGGTTAAAAATATATAATAAAATATTGATGAATTAATGCATACCACTGGATGACAATGAAAAATTAGTGACTTACAGTTTATCCTGCTTTTCTTGTGTGAGGGTGTAACCTCATTGATAGTGTGAGACGAAGTGGCAGGGTTATGTTTATGCTTTGGTGCTGCGGAGGTGGCACCTGACATGGAATAAGATGTGTTAATATGTGTAACTTGTGATCAGTACTGTTTATAACTATAATAGTCACCTTCAGACTTAGACTGTTGCTTAGAATGATGATACAAATTAGATAAAAC